TATATTTCCCTTTATCTCAGGTAATATAGTTACTTACAGTGGCTCTCTGATAGTTCCAGCATCTAGGCTGACTGACCATTGGCACCTATTAATTGTCTTTCCCTAGAATTTGTCATATTTTCCTGGTTTTTTGTTTATTTGTTTTCGTATGTCAAATAATTTTGGATTGTATTTTTGACTTTGTAATTATTATATTATGTGGTGTCTGGGTCCTGTTATAATCCTCTGGAGAATGTTATTTTGTGTTAGCATACAACCTGGTTAGGTTCTGATCCTAAGTTGTGTTTTGCCGTCTGTGGATAGTGGTTCAAATCTCAAGTCAGCTCTCTAAACCTTTGGTTTAGGTTCTGGTCTGTTTTGCACGTAAGTGGAACAGAGGTTAGTTTGAGACTTGTGCAGATAGTTCATATGTTCATCCCTCTCTAAACCTTTGCTACTTTGGTTTGGATCAGTTTCACATATGTGAAACTTGGATTAGATTGATATCTGGACAGGTTCATATACAGAATTAAGAAATATCCCCTTCTCTGGCTCTTTGCCTTGTGGGATTTCCCCAAATACGCTCTGGCCTTCACAAATTCCATTTGCCGGTTCTTTGGCCAGAAATACAGAGTTTCTCTCAGGGCTTTAGCTGCTGTACAACTGTGCTGTGTGTGCTCTGTGCTCTTTCATGACCGGACAGAGCCAGGAGCCAGGTGTAGTAGTTTTCTATGACTGTGTAACAAACTTAATGGCTTAAAACAACACAGAGTTATTATTATTTTTTTTTTCCTGCCTGTTTTATTCGCCCAGTTCCTGGCGTATAGTAGCTGCTCAGTATTTATTGAGTGCATTAGATTGGCAATGATAACACATAGTTATTATTTCCAAGTTTCTGTAGGTCAGGAATCTAGGCATGGCTTAGCGGAGTCCTCTACTTTAGGTTTCAAAATATTGCAAGATGTTGGCTTGGGACTGTGGTATTATCTGAAGTGTGACTGATGGAGGATCTACTTTCTTTGGCAGAATTTAGTCCTTTGTGGCTTTGGGAGGGAACATGGCTTCAGGTTTTGGTTGGCTGCTGGCTGGAGGCTACTCTCTGCTCTTAAATATCACCTTCACTTCCTTGCCAATGGGGCCTCCCAACATAGGCCACAGATAGCAGCTATCTTGTTGAAAGGGAGGGGGAACCTCCAGCAAGATGGCTGCTACAGTCTTATGCACATAATGTTACACGTTGTATACAGAATCACATACATCTCGTCACCTTTGCGGTATTTTATTGGTTAGAAACAAGTTGCAGGTCACGCTCACACTGAAGGGAAGAGGACTACCCAAGGGCAGGAACGTTAGGAGTGGGAGAGCAGTAGGGGAGCACACCATGTGAAAACAAAAGTCATGGGAATCTTACTCTTGTGCAGATGACTTCTCCCAAGTTTTTACTCCCCTCTACCATCTGCTTGCTTTGCTTCCTTTTCAGAGTCTCTGGTAGATAATTTTTACATTTTTCCTAGAAATTTTAGTTGGGCTGAAGAGGGCTTATGCCACCATGGGACAGAAACTTTATCATTAGATTTGGTAATAAAGAAGTCACTTAAAGAGCAATTTTTATGGAGTAGTGTGGCAGAAACTTGATAGGAATGATAGACAGTGAAGACTAGGAATTGGAGACAGTGTGTCTAAACAGTAGGATACTTCGCTGTAAGGAGAACAGGTAAATGGAGTGGTAACTGGCAGGAATGTGGAGTCAAGAGAAAGTTTTGTAACTTGCTTTTCTTTCTTCTTTTAGAAATTATTATAGTGTTCCATTTTAAATTCTGGTAGAATAATTTATCCAACATCATTTTAAATAGCTGAATGGTATTCCATTCTGTGTATATATCAGAATTTGCTTCACTATTTCCCACTGGTTTTATTTAATTATAAATGATAATACAATGAATAGCTTTCTCTGTAAATTTTCTCAAACATCTCTTATTTTGTGAAGTACAAATTCCCCTAGGTACAGTTATTGAGTCAGAGAGTATGAAGATTTTAAAAGGTATTTGCATCTGTTAACTGTGAAATAGAGGAATGAATACTGGCAGAAACATACTGTTTTAATCCTCCCTAACTTAAGTTGCTTTAGTGTGATTGTATCTTCTTAATACCAGTTATGGTTGCTTAAAAATTGAAGAAAGAGAATTAATTGTTGGATACAGTAGACAAAGAAGAATGGCTCTGGAAGAGAAGGCAATTAGATTCATCCAAGACTGGTGGTTTTTCATTGTAGTGGAAAGTGCATAGGGCCAGAGAGTTTAAAATATAGGCTGTGGATTGGCTGCAGTTATTTACCATGGGCTCTTAGCTGGACAGGGAAGGGAGTAAAGGCAGCAGATGGGTATTTGGGAAACAGC